AAACCTCTCTCTCTCTCTCTCTCTCCTCTCTCTCTCTCTCTCTCTCTCTCTCTCTCTCTCTCTCTCTCTCTCTCTCTCTCTCTCTCTCTCTCTCTCTCTCTCTCTCTCTCTCTCTCTCTCTCTCTCTCTCTCTCTCTCCTTCTATCTATCTATCTATATGTCTCTCTCTATCTTTCTATCTATTTATCTGTCTATCTATCTAGCTATCTATCTCACATACACACAACTTTCTGCTTCTATTTTGTCTAATTTTTTAGACAAACTAAATAGACAGGAAATTATTCAAGTTTGAAGATGAGCAAATAATAGTACTCTCTCTCTCTCTCTCTCTCTCTCTCTCTCTCTCTCTCTCTCTCCCTCTCTCTCTCTCTCTCTCTCTCTCTCTCTCTCTCTCTCTCTCTCTCTCTCTCTCTCTCTCTCTCTCAATCAATCAATCTATCTATCTATCTATCTATCTATCTATCTATCTGTATCTATCTATCTATCTATCTATCTATCTATCTATCCATCTATATCTTTCACTCTCATTAAAACACATGAGTTTAATACACAAATAGGGGATAAGGAGAGATATGTTGATACTCCCAAGTTTGTGTGTTCTTTTTTTTAACTTTCTTTTATTGTGTGTTTGTCTAAACTTTCGTGTTGTTGCATAAACATTGCTTAGCATACGGCTTGATGTTTTATCTCTATAGTTTGATTTTTATATTGTTTTATATTTGTGTTGTATGGTATTATTATTGTTATTAGTAGTAATAGTAGTAGTAGTTGTAGTAGTAGTAGTAGTAGTAGTAGTAGTAGTAGTAGTAGTAGAAGATGTAGTAGTAGTAGTAGTAGTAGTAATAGTAGTAGTAGTAGTAGTAGTAGTAGTAGTAGTAGTAGTAGTAGTAGTAGTAGTATCTGGCACTGTGCCAGATGACATTATTACGTTATTAAAGATATCTTTTGTAATGTATATACATACATACATACATACATACTTGCATATATATATATATATATATATATATATATATATATATATATATATATATATATATATATATGTATGTATGTGTGTGTGTGTGTTTGTGTGTGTGTGTGTGTGTGTGTGTGTGTGTGTGTGTGTGTGTGTACTGTTAATGACATAATTAATAACATTTGACTTTCACTTTAGGAATTACCCACATCAGGAGAGGCCTTTTATCCCCCATCTCTTATTAATTATGATGTGATTACCCCCCTCTCAAAAAATCTAATTATGCAATTAAACTGGCGATTAAGAATAGCGATTGATTTCTCATATATCGCGGATTAAACGGATTTTTTTTTTTTTTTTAACTCGGTCATTTGAGTATTTCCTTCCAATTTTTATTACCCTTTCTTCGACTGTTTGCATAGGTTATTTTTAGGTTATTTTTTAAGGTAATTTTTAGGGTTATTTTTTGCTTATTTTGCATTTTATTGACCGGAAGTACGTCGGCATTTTTTCCTATTCTAGTGTTTTAATTTTCTAACGGAACGGATCTCCGACTGAATGGGGTTGGAGTGGGGGGCTGGGGTGAAGAGGGGGACTGGGGATGGAGAGGGGGACTGGGGATGGAGAGGGAGCAGGGGGTGAAGAGGGGGGCTGGGGGTCTGGGGGTGGAGAGGGGGGCTGGGGGTGGAGAGGGGGGCTGGGGTGGAGAGGGGGGCTGGGGTGGAGGGAGGCTAGGAATCCCTTCCCTCGTGGATCCTTCCCCACTACCTCCCAGTAACCCTTTGACTCCCCCCATTCCTAGGATGTTCCTCTATCAGCCAGAGGGACTCATTCCTAACTGCATTGTGCTTGTGTTTCCTTGCGTGTCGTAAAAGTCGACTAATTGGGGTGGAGTGAGGGGACTAGGAATCCCCCTCCTTTGTGTTTTTCTTCCATAAAGAGTAAGGTTACGGAGAGAGACAATAAGTTTGTTGTTGTTGTTCTTCCGGTTTTACGTCACGGACTCCCTTTTCTACCAAGGGCTAGGACGGTTGCCTTCTTGTGAAGGACTTGTTTTGGCAGATGTAATCGTTACCCTGAGTGCATGCGCTTGCTATCCTCAGACCGTGACGGGGCGCGAACCCTCGACCTGACGCCTCAAATTCGCGGACGCTACCGCTTGAGCCACGGTGACTACTGAAAAAGACAATAAGTATGAAGGAAAAAGAAGCCATTCAAGCATAGAAAAGGAAAATGAGTCACGAAAATAGAAGGAAAAAAAAGGAAAAAAATACTGATAGATAATAGGACAGGGGCTGGAAAATTAGAAAGAATAGGTTAGCAAGGGCATGCACTCAGGGTAACGATTACAGCTGCCAAAACAAGCCCTTCGCAAGAAGGCAACCGTCCTAGCCCTTGGTAGAAAAGGGAGTCCGTGACGTAAAACCGGAACAAGGAAAAAATAGTAGTAGCGTAACCAGTAGAATGCTCGACTCGGGACGTGACAGATCCGCGCTTGAACCCATGGCTGGGTTATAGGAAGGGCATCTAGCCTTAATTCCCCAAATTCAATCCGTCTGTGTCCACCCCCAAATGGGGACTAATGGTGATACTTAAAACGTTGACAGAGAGAGAGAGAGAGAGAGAGAGAGAGAGAGAGAGAGAGAGAGAGAGAGAGAGAGAGAGAGAGAGAGAGTAATAATAATAATCCTTTATTTCCAATGTACATTGGGTATTCAAATAAGATACATATATATTCCAGATAGACATCTGTGGTGTACGATATAGACATACTAAAACAAACAAATCATAAAGATGAGTGTACCATTAAAATTTACAAGTAAAATCTTCCTTTAAGAGTAACTTCTTAAGATTATATTTAAAAGTATACACTGAACCAGCATTTTTTAGTTCTCTGGGAAGCTGATTATATAAATGAGGTCCACGAATGTTTATATCTCTTGAGCCAATATCAGTTTTAGACCTTCGTACTAATAAATCTTCCCCTTGACGGGTAGTTAACCCGGTAACTGAGCTTACTGTAGAAAAATTATACAAGCAATCAGGAAGATTGTTTCTTAGTATATTAAAAACAAAGGTACATATGAAATGAGAGAGAGAGAGAGAGAGAGAGAGAGAGAGAGAGAGAGAGAGAGAGAGAGAGAGAGAGAGAGAGAGAGAGAGAGAGAGGAGAGAGATGCGTGTCTTTGAAATGAGAGAGAGAGAGAGAGAGAGAGAGAGAGAGAGAGAGAGAGAGAGAGAGAGAGAGAGAGAGAGAGAGAGAGAGAGAGAGAGAGAGAGAGAGAGAGAGAGTGAGAGAGAGAGAGAGAGATGCGTATCTTTGAAAATAGAGAGAGAGAGAGAGAGAGAGAGAGAGAGAGAGAGAGAGAGAGAGAGAGAGAGAGAGAGAGAGAGAGGAGAGAGAGAGAGAGAGAGAGAGAGAGAGAGAGAGGTGTAGTCACGAACGAAGATGAAATAGAGATGTGGAAGAAGAGAGGAAGAAAATAAAGAGGGGAGGTTGGGGGCATTTGACCCCTTATTAAACCACGTGATTGAAATCCATTAGCAGGAACGGGACGTATATATGTAATTAGAAGGTGATGATTCATGTTGTTATTCTGATGTGCGTGACTGTACGTGATTCTTTTTTTTTTAAGTTTAGCAAATATAACTACAGTATTCAGTGTGTGTACGCATTAATGTGTATGTTTCCGGCATGTTGGAGATTGCATTAGATATTGTCATATATATATATATATATATATATATATATATATATATATATATATATATATATATATATATATATATGAAACATATATTTGCCCCTGGCCAAGATTCGAACCAAGGACACATAATTAATGTGACAAGGCACTGCCAACTGTACCACCAAAGGTGTATATTTCCGGCATGTTGGAGATTGCATTAGGTACTGTCATATATATATATATATATATATATATATATATATATATATATATATATATATATATATATATATATATTTGCCCCTGGCCAGGATTCGAACCAAAGACACTTACTTAGTGTGACAAGGCACTACCAACTGTACCACCAAAGGCATAGGAGAAACAATTTTTTGGCCACCCTGTATCGGAAGGAAGCAAATTTTCATCTTGCCGTCTCTATTATCCTCATCTCGGTCCGCGGGAGTTTTGCGTCAGGAAAAGAAATTGGTTGCTTCTTAAGACACTCAGGGCATGCGAGGGTAGTTGTCTTTCTGGTAGCCCTGAAGATATATTATTATTATTAGTAGTAGTAGTATTAGTTGTAGAAGTGGTAGCAGTAGTAGAAATAATAATAATAATAATAATAATAATAATAATAATAATAATAATGTTCCGGTTTTACGTCACGGACTCCCTTTTCTACCAAGGGCTAGGACGGTTGCCTTCTTGCGAAGGACGTGTTTTTTGGCAGATGTAAGTGTTACCTTGAGTGCATGCCCTTTCTAACCTCAGACCGTGACGGGGCGCGAACCCTCGACCTGATGCCCCAGAGTCGCGGACGCTACCGCTTGAGCCACGGTGACTACAATAATAATAATAATAATATGAAGAAGAAGAAGAACAACAACAACAATAATGAGAATGCCAAGCCATATGAATTTTCTTAGCCGCATTTTACACCAAGTAATAAGTTTTCTTCCAATATCACCTTTGGTAAATTGACCCTCAAATGAACCCTCGATAATCTTGGCAGCTCCCATTGCTGTCCCGTGGCACTGGTCGACATGCGGCAAGACCCTATTTTTGAGACATTAGTTCTTGTTCCGAGTCATTTTTTGTTTACCGTTTGCAAATGTGGATATAGCCACTGTCTATGTTCAGTTTATATTTTTGGCTAACTTTATGTCATTTGCAATCTGGGTATGTTTTCAAGAGATTTTGGGCTTTATTGTGGGATATATATATATATATATATATATATATATATATATATATATATATATATATTATATATATATATATATATATATATATATCTGAATGCGTTCATTCCTAGTATAGCAGATATAAACTGTAAGGTCTGTTTCCCTTGTAAGACACTCTGTGGTGTAGTTGGTAACGCCTTGGCCTAGTAAGTTTATGTCCTAGGTTCAAGTCCCGGTCGGGGGTAAAAATGATTCATATATATATATATATATATATATATATATATATATATATATATATATATATATATATATATATATATATATATATATATATAATCATACGTAAATACATACATACATACATACATATAAATATGCACGTACCTCATTCCCCATCACTGAGAGAAAAAACATTAACCCGAATTCTTGTAACACAATTCCACCCCATATGAATGGAGACTAACTGTGCCATACACAACGGTCCCTAGTTATTGAATGTCAATTCAGTGCCTCACTCATATAAATAATAATAATAATAATAATAATAATAATAATAATAATAACAATAATAATAATAATAATAATAATAATAATAATAATAATAATAATAATAATAATAATAATAATAATAATAATAAACCTTTATTTCCATCACAATACAATGGGTATTCGTCAGCCGGGGCAATCCCAACCCCCCACTGTTGTGCCCAACCACAGCAGTACCTGCCAGTAAACAGCTTAAACTCTCGGTCTTGGACGGGAACCGATCTTTCGACCTCGTGAATGCGAAGCCAGCGAGTTACCACTGTACTAGCCAGCAGGCAAATTCGACTTCTGATGTCGGTTTAAATAGCATTTTATATCGCATTTTTTCCAGCAAGAGGAAAGGGTAATGGTGTCCCTCATGTAGTAGCCTCTATCAGGTCAGCATGCTCGGTGACTACAACATTGGGTTATTGAGTTAAACGTTTTAACAAAACGTTTACGAGATAGGGTTTTGATTGGCTCAATTATGTCCGTCCCTCGGCTCTCTCATATTAGACAATGAATACATCTGTCTCTATATTCAAGAGCCATATTCCCCATTATAAGGGGGGTGGCTGAGCCAAAGCAAAATAATAATACAGAGGAGGGGATTCCCATTCCTATCTCTCCACCCCATATAGTTGATCTTTACGACACGCACGTGTATTAAATTTATATATATATATATATATATATATATATATATATATATATATATATATATATATATATATATATATATATATATATATATATATAGGATATGCAGACTTTGCTGCAATGGATTATACAGATAGATAGACAGATAATACTTTATTTCGTAAACATGTACATAAATAGATAGATGGATACATACGTGCATACATTCACACATACATGCATACATGCATACATACATACATACATACATACATACATACATACATACATACATACATACATATATAGAACAAGCATACTTTGTGCAAACGGATTAACTTGGAGGTACATGCAAGCAGCTCATTACTATAAAAATATGTTTCAAAGTAATTTAAAATGACATTGTTTTTGTATTTGCTTTTAATGCTATTAACCGGAATTCGTGCTGATCATTGTTCTGAATATGTAATTTGAGACGTGATTACCTAATTGATTACCTAATTGTGTTTACGGGAAAGAGCCCAAAGCTCGTATCTTCCCGTCTCCTCATCGGTTCCATTTTTAGACTTAGTGATACTTATCGTACCTGTCCTTAAAACTATGGATTGAGATAGCATTAACTACCTCCTCGCTTAGCGAATTCCAATTATCAACTATTCTTACACTGAAAAAGTATTTCCTTACATCCTGCAAACAAGTTTTCTTACGAAGCTTCAAACTATGACCTCTAGTTCTAGAGCCAGCCATATCGAAATATCGATCCCTATCCACTCTATCATAACCATGAAGGAATTTAAAGACTGTCACCATATCCCCCCTTACTCTTCTAGCTTCGAGTGATGGCAAGTCTAATTCCCTCAGCCTCTCATCATAACCGAGATTGCATATTTCTGGCACCAGTTTCGTGGCATGTCTTTGAACTTTTTCAAGCTTAGCTATGTGCTTTTTCAAGTGCGGATTCCAAAAGGGGGCTGCATATTCGAGTTTTGGCCTCACATAGGTTATATAAATATTTCTGAACATTTCCTTGTCCATGTGCCTGAAGGCTACCCTTACATTTGATAAGAATGCATATGCTGCCCTTACTACGCCATTTATATGTATTTCTGGAGACAAATCTGCCAGTATGTTTACTCCTAGATCTCTCTCATTTTCTGTCTCTTGAGTGTGTGTGTGTGTGTGTGTGTGTGTGTGTGTGTGTGTGTGTGTGTGTGTGTGTGTGTGTGTGTGTGTGTGTGTGTGTGTGTGTGTGTGTGTGTGTAAATACCTAATTGTGCTTACGGGAAAGAGCCCAAAACACTCATTTTCCCGTCTCCTGATCGGTTCCATTTTGTACTTAGTGATACCTATCATACTTGTTCTTAAAACTATGGATTGAGTTAGCATAAACTATCTCCTCGCTTAGCGAATTCCAATTATCAACTACTCTTACACTGAAAAAGTATTTTCTTACATCCTGCAAAGAAGTTTTCTTACGAAGCTTCAAACTATGACCTCTAGTTCTAGAGCCAGCCATATCAAAATATCGATCCCTATCCACTCTATCATAACCATGAAGGAATTTAAAGACTGTCACCATATCCCCCCTCACTCTTCTAGCTTCGAGTGATGGTAAGTCTAATTCCCTCAGCCTCTCATCATAACTGAGATTGCGTATTTCTGGCACCAGTTTCGTGGCATGTCTTTGAACTTTTTCAAGCTTAGCTATGTGCATTTTCAAGTGCGGATTCCAAAAGGGGGCTGCATATTCGAGTTTTGGCCTCACATAGGTTACATAAATATTTCTGAACATTTCCTTGTCCATATGCCTGAAGGCTACCCTTACATTTGATAAGAATGCATATGCTGCCCTTACTATGCCATTTATATGTATTTCTGGAGACAAATCTGCCAGTATGTTTACTCCTAGATCTCTCTCATTTTCTGTCTCTTGAAGTTGTACTCCAGCCACCGAGTAGTCAAGCTTGGGCCTTCTTGCACTTGTACCCATTCTCATTACCTTACATTTTGAAGTATTGAATTTCATTAGCCACTTTTCTGACCACTCATGCAGATTATTTAGATCCTCCTGAAGTTCTCTACCATTGTTCTCGTTTTTTACTTTCTTCACAATCTTTGCATCATCTGCAAACATATTCATGAATGAATTTACAGACTCTGGTAGGTCATTTACATATACAAGGAACAAAAGTGGCCCTAAAACTGAACCCTGTAGAACTCCACTACTAACTCTTCTTCATTCAGACACTGAGTGTCTTACTCTAACCCTCTGTTCCCTTCCTTCTAAGTAAGTTTTTATCCATTCCAAAACATTTCCACCTATTCTAGCCATTGATTGCAGCTTCCTAATAAGTCTCCCATGTGGAACAGTGTCAAACGCTTTCTGGAAGTCTAGGAATATGCAATCTGCCCAGCCCTCTCTTTCCTGTAAGATTTGGCTTACCTCATCATAAAATTCTAATAAGTTTGTTACTGTTGATCTACCTTCTCTGAAGCCATGTTGCCTCACTGACAAAAAGTTGAAGGATTCCAAGTGAAGAGAGATATGTTTCCTTAGTAGTTTCTCCATAAGTTTGCAAACTATGCTGGTCAAGGAAACTGGTCTATAGTTCAGAGCCGTATCCCTCCTTCCCTTTTTGAAGATAGGTATCACATTTGCTTGTTTCCAGCATCTTGGAATCTCCCCCGACTCCAGTGACTCCTTAAATATGATACTTAGTGCCACTGATATTGTGTTTGCGCATTTTTTAAGCACATGAGGGGATATGTCATCAGGACCTGTAGCTTTATGAACATCTAAATCCATCAGCGCTTTGCATACCTCTGTGGCTGTAAGGTTGATGTTCTCTAATACCGGCCCTTGAGCTTCTATCACTGCAATCTGAGGGGGTGGGGTATTTTCTACTGAAATACTGACTGAAACTCCTTGTTCAATTCTTTGCAGATCTCTTCATCCGTCTCAGTGATGCTTCCATCCGCTCTCTTTAGCCTTAAAACCTGTTCTTTTACCTTCAGTTTTCCTCTGATAAAGCTGTAGAAAAACTTGGGATTTTCTTTAGCCTTCCTGGTGATGTCCCTCTCATAGTCTCTCTCTGCCTTTCTCCTTTTACTTAGGTGTGTGTGTGTGTGTGTGTGTGTGTGTGTGTGTGTGTGTGTGTGTGTGTGTGTGTGTGTGTGTGTGTGTGTGTGTGTGTGTGTGTATAAAGGTTGTCACGAGATGAATCGGTCATGAAAAACCAGCTAAGATTGTGGGGCTCACGCAACAGCTCATTGCCCATTACACTGTGGATTACCCAAATAGTGTGGTTAGGGAGGAATTATTGGGTCCTCTGTGTCCATATATGGGTAGATATTTCTGTAGTAAGGTTTATAATTATTATAAAAATGTTCACTTGTTAAAATTCAAATTTGTCTTTATATATATGGACAATAAAAAAGAAAAAATATTTGTAAGGCGCGCCCCGTCACGGTCTGAGGTTAGCAAGGGCATGCACTCAGGGTAAGGATTACATCTGCCAAATCAAGTCCTTCGTAAGAAGGCAACCGTCCTAGCCCTTGGTAGAAAAGGGAGTCCGTGACGTAAAACCGGAACAACAACAACTTGAATATGAAACAGTCTTCTTGAATCCTTACTTAAAAAAAAAATGGATATTCATAAGTGGGATGCAATCCAGAATAATGTTTTAGAACTATTGCTGGAAATGAGACACCTCTGATGAAATAAGGCTGAAGAAGTTACATCTACCACTGCTTGAAGCCAGATGATGCATAGGGGATATGATGATAGTTTTTAAAATCCTTCACTTTTTCAACAAAATCTATAGTTAGCAACGCTCTGACATGGGTGTTTTTAGAAACAGAAATCATGGGTCGGAGCATTGCAAGAAATCTTTGTGAGATTTGAGAAATTAATTTTTATTATGTGATCAATTCATAATCGTTTCAAGTGTCAGGAAATCAGAAAAAAACACAGGAGAGAGAGAACCATGTACTCAGTGGCTCAGTGGTAGTGCGCGAGAGTTGAGATGCTACAGACGCTGATTTGGGCCTTCCATGGGACGTTAGAAAGGGCATTCAA